CATCATCAGCTTCAATTATAACCAATAGTGTTCAATAATCGATTGTAGAAAAATCGAACTGGCTAAGGAGGAGGACGCGAGGAAACGTCAATGGTGAATGTAGAGTGCACGCTTCTATGGTGGGCTAGAAGAAGATGAGAGGCTCTATGTGGGGAATAAGAGTGACAATGGCTGATTGCAAAGCAAAGGAGCTGTAGGGTTTTTTTCAGTTTGAGGAAAGAGAAGGAGATCAAAGGAGAGAGAAGGAGAGAAAAGGAATTTAGGGTTTCCATTGTTGAGAGGAGGAGAGATCAAGGAAAGAGAAAGAAAGAAGACAGAAAGAGTAAGAAAGAACATTAACGGCCGGGTTTTTTTTTTTTACAATAGCTTTCGCATCGGTTTGAACCAAACCGGTGCGATTAACTCATTTTTCGCACCGGTTTGGTTAGAACCGGTGCGAAAAGTCTTCCCCTCAATCCCGCCAAATTTTTTTCGCACCGGTTTTTAAAAACCAGTGCGCATTTTGCGGTGCCTATTTCATTTTTTCTACTAGTGAGTTGATGCAACTACATTAAGATTTTTGGTAAGCTTGACAGTCTTAGAAAGACTAAAGATGCGATTGATGGATGTAGTGGTCGGATACTTATATGGCTTGATACAAACATTTATATGAAAGTCCTTGACGGACTAAAATTACCAGAAACCAAAAGCCAAGACAATCACTTTCTATAAAATTAAAAAGGTCACTTTATGGATTGAAACAATCTGGAAGGATGTGGTATAATCGACTTAGTTAATACCTTATGAAAGAAGGTCTCAAAAATAATCAAATCAGTCCTTGTGTTTTCATTAACAGATCTCAATTAGGATTTGCAATTATTGCTGTTTATGTTGATGACTTGAATATTATCAGAACTCCAAATGAACTTGAAAGAACTGAAAAGTACTTGATGAAAGAATTTGAGATGAAAGACCTTGGACAAACTAAATTTTGTCTTGGGTTGCAAATTGAGCACCTGAGTAATGGTATTTTTGTCCACCAGTCTAACTACACTGAAAGAGTGTTAAAACGTTTTTTCATGGACAAAGCGCACCCAATAAACACCCCGATGGCTATTCGATCTTTAAACATGAAAAATGATCCATTTAGACCTCAAGAATAAAATGAGGAAGTTCTTGGTCCTGAAGTACCATATCTAAGTGGAATTGGCGCTTGAATGTATTTAGGTAACAATACTAGACCCAACATAGCTTTTTCTGTGAACTTGTTAGCCGGGTGTAGCAACTCACCAACGCAGAGACATTATAAAGGAATAAGACACTTATTTTGATACTTACGAGGAACGCAAGATCTTGGTTTGTTCTATAAATCAAGACAAGATGCCACTCTCATCGGATATGCAGATACTGAAAACCTATCAGACCCACAAAATCCCAACTCACAAACTGGATATTTGTTTACTTATATAGGCACTGCAATATCTTGTAAATCAACAAAGCAAACTTTGACCGCAACATCATCAAATCATGCCGAGTTGATCGCCCTTTATGAAGCAAGACGCGAATGAGTATGGCTAAGATCAATGATTGCCAATATCCAATAAGAATGTGGAATGAAAGGAGTAGCTGAAAATCCAACCATTATTTACGAAGACAATACTGCATGCATCTCACAAGTAATCGAAGGATACATCAAATGATATAGGATTATACAGTTATCCCTGAAATTGTTCTTTACACACGATTTGTAGAAGAAAGGGAAGATAAATGTCTAACAAATTCAATCATGTCAAAATCTTGCAGACTTGTTTATAAAGTCCCTTCCTTCGAAGAGATTTGAGCAGTTAGTCCACAAGATTGAGATGCACCGTCTTCGTAAGCTACGTTAAAATCAGGAAGAGCATTATATGCACTACACTCTTTTTTCCTTCTAGATTTTTTATACATTGGGTTTTTCTTGACAAAATTTTTAATGAATGACAAGCTAAAGTCGTATCACCTAATCAAAAGTAATTCTTAAAACCACTAACTAAAATATATAGGGAAGTAGGGTCGAATCCACAGGTAAACAAGTCTTTCTACTCCTAAATGATTAATATAATCTAGATTATCAAGTAACAAATAAGAATTGTGAGAATTATACTACAGACTATAATTAAACTAATGGAATAATCAATAATAAATAGCCTAGGGTATAGGTTCACCAATAAATAATATTCCAGGGTAAAACACAATAATCAATCATTAATGCATAAATTAACCAGATTATAAAGGGCTTTTGCTACGTATTATAATCACAAAATTAATCTACCGGTATTAAATCGCATCTCTCGAATCTTGACTTAACCATTTATAAATTAACCTGCCTATTGAAACTAAGCCTAAACATCAATTCTCGTCTCTCGAATCTCGAATCAATATTGCATAACTCGTACAATTAAACCAGCGCTAATCTAATTGCATAGCATTAAATCAATCAATAGGAAATTAATCTAAAACATTAACAACCCACAATGATAAATTACCCCTTCATATTACTCATGGATCCCCACAACCCTAGAATTAAACTACTCACGCATAATTAAAACTAAACTAAGCAAAGCAATTAAACAACACATAATAAATCAAAGCAATTAAATTACTGAAAATAAAAGGGGGAAGAAATCGTTACCAAAGTAAACGAAAATAATGAATTGCTTAAATCAAAGGTGTAGAGAGGAAACAAGAGTATTAACTAAAAGCTAAAACTAAAAACTAAGAATTAACTAACTGAGCAGAGATACCCTCCATCTCGCTTAACAAAGCGTATTTATACTTAAGCTTCAAAATCCTAATTAAAAACGAACTAAAAATCGTCAAAACTCTTTAGAAATACGCGCCCGGTTGGGCGCCATCTCGCCTAGTCGGGCGAGCCTTTTTGGTCTTATGATCTTCACTCGCACCGGTCGGGCGCGAGACAGGGCGAATGACTTCTTTCCTTCCTTCTACCTCGCCCGGTCGGGCGCGCCTTAGGGTGAGACACCCACCCGGTCGGCCGAGCTCTCGAGCAAGCTAGACCTCTTCAATTGGGCTATTCACTTGGCCCAATTCGCATTTCCTCTTTGGGTTTTTAAGACTCGGTCCAATGCAACGGACTCTTCTTCTTCACCGAGCCCTTAATCACCGGTTTGATTGCTCCAACGCAGTCTTGGGCTACGGAATATGGTCATAATAATGCGATCCCACTCCAATGCTCGTAGTGGCTCAAATAAGTCTGGGAAAAAGCTTCAAATCTGCAATTTCCTATTAAACAATACCAAATCTAAGAAAACACTAGAAAACGCATATCAGTAATAAAAATGGCTCTAAAGAGCTAAAAATACTCCTAACTATGACCAAGGGACCAGGGTAAATCTCTATATAAAATGAACATATCAAACTCCCCCAAGCCAAACCTTTGCTTGTCCCTAAGCAAAGCAATGAATAAATAAATCAATACTTCACCCCAAATACATTTCAAACCAATAAATACGATTCAAGGCAAATCCGATAAACATGTATCAAAGTCAATCAATCACATCCATCCAACTACCAATCTTCCCTGACAATTGTCAAATAGATCAAACCACAAGAGCATTTAGAATTCATGACTAGTGCTCACACACTCTTCTCTCATTTATGTGGCAAGTAAAAGATGTACTCGATCGCTCTCCAACCCAACCCCTTTATATGTGAACAATGCCCTCCCAAACTCACAACACTCGTGTGTTTAAGAAAACAAGCACTCAACCTAATAGTCGACTCGGAATATATCAAATCATTCTTTGCATTGATAAACAACTAATTTCACATTCATATAACTCTATGCACAAAGGTCAGAAGGTCTTCAAAGCTTGTAATGTAAGACTAGGGTAAACAGTAGGAAATATTTGGGAAAATGTGAGAGTAAAGCCATGCTTAAGGGACCTAAAATCCTAATAAAAACCAATGTCAAAAATAAATAATGACCAATCATCTCCAACATAACTCAACTCTACCAAAAATTCACCAAACATCCGATTATATTAAAATTCCCAACACTTACAACTTCACTAAAATATACAAAATATAACACTATAGAACTTGAGTGAACAAACAAACTTTGAAATCTTTTTTTTCTTTTAAATATTTCTTAAGCAACCTTTAATTGGAACACTTGAACACTAAACAATTTTTTTTCTTTTGCTCTTTTTTTCCTTTTATCTCACATTGGAAATTTCGACTTTAAACAACAATTTTTCCATTTTTTCCAATCCACAAAAATAAGAACAAATTAATAACTTCTCAAATCCACCCAAAATTGTGCAAATTATGTGCACACTACAACTCCTTCACCTCACTCACTATTAGCTCCCCCAAGCGAGCCAAGCTTGGGACTAGTAATCAATGGGGCTTAAATAGGCTTGTAATGTGGCTAAATAAACAATAAAAGGGCACAAGCAACAACATGGGTAGTAAGAAGGGAACAAATGTATCTAATATCATCTGAAGGCCACCTAAAAGAACAAATGCCTTTGTCCTCCTTAATTAGCATAATAATGAGTCATACAAACATTACTCATAGTTATAATCCAATACTCAACTTCATTGAAATACCAGGAACTAACACACAATTCCTAACCAAATCAACTAGTCAAGCACTTATCCACAAATAGTTGGAAAAAATTGACTCGTGTTTAGATTTTAGGGCAATCAAACATCAAATCATGATCAACTAATCCTCAATATCTATCATCAATAACCAAGAATCAAAACAATTTCATAGAATTTTAATCAAAGGGGCACAGGGAAGCATGATTTATAGTTCATTGGAACGTATTTTTTTGGATTTTTTTTTTGAAAGCATTAAATCTAACCTAAGAAAGCAATAAACTAAACTAGGCACACCAAAGAAAATAAAAAGAAAAGGGAAAGAAAGAGTACCTATATATACAAGAAATTCCCCCCAAGCTAAATCAGACAATGTCTTCATTGGCTTAAAGGGAAGTTAGTAACCCAAGTGACTACCCCTCATCATCAAACTCGTAGCCACCACCATCCCAAGCATCACAATTCAGCATTTTGGTACAATGCTGGACAAAAAGGAAACAAATTGTTAGTAGGAAAAGAGGCAAAAACGAGTCAAGTTCACTATTTTGCTCATAACTTTTTTTATACAAATGATAATGCAGTTAATTTCATTGGAAAGTAGACTTGAAGAGCTTTCAAACGATAGGTCAATTGCAAAATTTTGTTGAGAAACGCAAAAGATATGGCGTCTTGAAGTTGGCCCGTTTTACTGTCCCGCTCACGTGCCCGGTCAGGCGGATCTCCGCCCGGTCGGGCAAGTTTGACTCTTTTTTCGGTACTCGTTCTCGCGCCCGTCCGGGCAAACTTTAGTCACATACGAACTTCCTCTCGCGCCCGGTCGGGAGAGTGCTCGCCCGGTCGGGCGCGCTTCAGCACTATGAGTCTGATTTTCATCAATTTGCTCATTTTCTCCACTTTTTCTTCTTCAAATCCAAGCCCTACACAATTCAGAGCTCTTTCTATAGCATCCACTTCATCTTTCCATGGAGTAGCTTTTACTGCGGAAGATGTAACACAAAATACCGCCTCCAAGGGATCTCTAACGAGAGCTTGGGGCTTATTAGAAAAATTATTTACATCGACCACACTTATACTAAAGCACTTATCTTCCAACATGGGGCTTTTAGGGGCATTATTTAGATTAAAAGTAATGTTATCATCCCCTACAAATAATGTAAGTTTGCCACTTTTCACATCTATTATTGCCCCTGCAGTATGAAGGAATGGTCTACCCAAAATAATCGGAATTTGCAAATCTTCCTCCATATCAAGAACAACAAAATCAACAGGTATATAAAATTTACCTACTCTGACAGGAACATCCTCTAAAACACCTATAGGGTATTTAACGGAACGATCAGCCATTTGTAGAGTGATATTAGTAGATTTTAAATTACCCATATTTAATTTAGAGCTCACGGATATTGGCATAACACTTACACTAGCACCCAAATCACATAAAACTTTATCAATCATCAGATTACCAATGTGACAAGGAATAGAAAAACTACCCGGATCTTTTAGTTTAGGTGGAGATTTATTCTGTAAAATAGCACTACATTCTTCAGTAAAAGCAAATGTCTCTACCTCACTAATAGATCTCTTTCTGGTAAAGATTTCTTTCATAAATTTAGAATATGCAGGAACTTGACTAATTAATTCTGTGAAAGGAACTGTTACCTGCAAATTCTTGACAACCTCCAGAAACTTACTAAACCACTTATCTAACTTACTCTTAAGATGTCTATTTGGGAATGGAAGTTTGATAACTAGTTTTTGTACATCTCCACTCTTGCCTTGAGTTGTAACTTTCTTTGGAGTTGTATCCTGCAATGTATTATCAGAAATGTTAGTTTTACTCTAGGGCCCTATAGGGCTAGTAACAACAATATTTGGTATAACAGAATCAGGATTAGCAATTTTTGTAATGGTAGGTTCATCATCTTTGGGCATAGAAGGCCCATCGTATTTTGAACCACTTCTCAAAGTAATTGCATTCACGTGTCTGTAGGTTGCACTGGCTGCGATGGTAGGGCTCTCTGCTGGCGAGTTTGCAGAGAAGAGGAAAGTTGCGCAATTTGATTATCCATGATCTTATTATGTGCTAGTATCGAGTCAATTTGCGCATCTCTAATCTGCATCTGTTTCTGCATATTAACTAACATCGTTTTGATTTCTGATAAGCCAGAGTCAGAAGGAGGAGTAACAGCTTGTTGTGGTCTCTGATGTGGAGGTTGGTAGTACCTCTGTTGTGGTTGTAGTACCTGTGGTGGGGGGTTAAGCACATTCGTACCATTGTACGACATATTTTGGTTATTTTTCAACCCTGCATTGTAAGTGTTAGAGTATGGGCTAGTTTGCTTATAGGTCTGAAAAGCATTAATCTTCTCAAGCAAACTAGTACATTCCTGCGCCCAATGACCTACAAGACCACAATTTTCACAAATTATTGCAGAGTAGTACCAATTGCAGAAACATTCACTACGGAAGATGAGTTAGAATTAGAATTATTAATATTGTCTAGTTTCTGGCTAATAGCAGGCAATTGTGCTTGCAAAAAGGATATAGAATCGACTTGGTGCTTTCTCTTATTTGCAAATCCTCTGGGATTTAATTGGGAATTATGAATAGCCATCTCTTCAACAACATTGCTCGCTATATTCACATCCAAATTCATAAATCTTCCGTTAGCTGTAGAGTCCAAAATCATTCTTGAATTATATCCAAGCCCGTTGTAGAACGCTTGCATTATCTGCCATCGTGCTAGCCCATGATGGGGGCATTCTCTCTGCAAATCCTTAAATCTTTCCCAAGCTTCGTATAAAGATTCATCTGCTTCTTGGGAAAATTTTTGGATCGAACTCCTTAACAAAGCTGTCCTTTCTGCAGGGTAGTATTTATTATAAAAATTCAAAGCAAGAGTTTCCCAGTTAGTAATACAAAGTGCAGCTCTGTTCAATCCATTGTACCACAATTTAGCTTTACCACATAAAGAGAAGGGAAAAAGAATCTCCCTGATTTGGTCCTGCGTGACCCCAGCTTGTCTAATAGTATTACAATATTGGCAAAAATCCAAGATGTGAAGATTTGGATCTTCACCCTTAGCTCCGCTGAATTTCTTCCTCTCGATCATAGTAATAAACTGGGGTTTAATCTCGAATTGTACTCCCTCGAGATTTGGTGTAGGAGCAAGGTGTGGAAAATCTACCAGGGACGGCTGCGAATAATCGCTGAGCTTGCGAGGTGGTTGAGCCATCACTAATTCTGGTTCCGAAGAAACTTCTATATCACTAGAATAAGATGGGGGTTCCAAAGGTGTATTACCCTCGGGAGTAGCTTGTTCCTGTTTAAAAAGGTTCTTCTGTCTATGGAAAGAACGTTCGATTTCAGGATCAAACGGAATGTAACCTGATCTAGAACTCCTGAGCATAAGCACAGAACTAAACAACATATATGAGAAACTGTCCCAAAGAACTTGCGTTCTCTGAGATGAAAGAAAATAATCTAGACTACAAAAACAATTAGAAATAAAAATAAAACCGTTCCCCCGGCAACGGCACCAAATTTTGACAGGCTAAAGTCGTATCACCTAATCAAAAGTAATTCCTAAAACCACTAACTAAAATAGATAGAGAAGTAGGGTCGAATCCACTGGGAAACAAGTCTTTCTACTCCTAAATGATTAATATAATCTAGATTATCAAGTAACAAATAAGAATTGTGAGAATTATACTACAGACTACAATTAAACTAATGGAATAATCAATAATAAATAGCCTAGGGTATAGGTTCACTAATAAATAATATTCCAGGGTAAAACACAATAATCAATCATCAATGCATAAATTAACCAGATTATAAAGGGCTTTTGCTACGTATTATAATCACAAAATTAATCTACCGGTATTAAATCGCATCTCTCGCATCTTGACTAAACCATTTATAAATTAACCTGCCTATTGAAACTAAGCCTAAACATCAATTCTCATCTCTCGAATCTCGAATCAATATTGCTTAACTCATACAATTAATCCAGCGCTAATCTAATTGCATAGCATTAAATCAATCAATAGGAAATTAATCTAAAACATTAACAATCCACAATGATAAATTACCCCTTCATATTACTCATGGATCCCCACAACCCTAGAATTAAACTACTCACGCATAATTAAAACTAAACTAAGCAAAGTAATTAAACAACACATAATAAATCAAAGCAATTAAATTACTGAAAATAAAAAGGGGAAGAAATTGTTACCAAAATAAACGAAAATAATGAATTGCTTAAATCAAAGGTGTAGAGAGGAAACAAGAGTATTAACTAAAAGCTAAAACTAAAAACTAAGAATTAACTAACTGAGCAGAGATACCCTCCATCTCGCTTAACAAAGCGTATTTATACTTAAGCTTCAAAATCCTAATTAAAAACGAACTAAAAATCGTCAAAACTCCTTAGAAATACGCGCCTGGTCGGGCGCGCCTTTTTGGTCTTATGATCTTCACTCACGCCCGGTCGGGCGCGAGACAGGGCGAATGACTTCTTTCCTTCCTTCTACCTCGCCCGGTCGGGCGCGCCTTAGGGTGAGACACCCACCCGGTCGGCCGAGCTCTCGGGCAAGCTAGACCTCTTCAATTGGGCTATTTACTTGGCCCAATTCGCGTTTCCTCTTTGGGTCTTTAAGACTTGGTCCAATGCCACAGACTCTTCTTCTTCACCAAGCCCTTAATCACCGGTTTGATTGCTCCAACGCGGTCTTGGGTTACGGGTCATAATAATGCGATCCCACTCCAATGCTCGTAGTGGCTCAAATAAGTCTGGGAAAAAGGTTCAAATCTGCAATTTCCTATAATACAATACCAGATCTACGAAAACACTAGAAAACGCATATCAGTAATAAAAGTGGCTCTAAAGAGCCAAAAATACTCCTAACTATGACCAAGGGACGGGGGTAAATCTCTATATAAAATGAACATATCAATGAGGCAGTACACCAAAGCATATAACAAAATATTGTTGTACTCTTTTCCCTTAGCTATGGTTTTTATCCCAATGGGTTTTACCTAGCAAGGTTTTAATGAGACAACTAATACCCCATTATTGTATGGACATTTAAGGGGGAGTGTTAAGAATTCGGTTAATATGGACATGTAATGTAAATGCCCGTACATTTTCTTCTTTGTAATTAAGGCTTAGCCAACCTCCTTGCCACCGCCTAAGTTAGTAGCCCACAATGTAATAGTAAATTACCTTACTATAAATAGCCATGCAAATTCATTTGTATGATGTATACAAAAAATCACATAAGAGTAATAGCTCACAAGTAGTAATTCTCTACATCTAATATATTACTCTTACCTTCTTCTCTTAATTTCCTATATACTCCCTCCGTTTCATAATTAGAAGGCTGTTTTCTTTTTTTGGGTATTCAAAATTAGAAGTCTATTACTATTTATAGACAGTACTTTTGACAATAATCCCCTCTTTTTTTTTATGATGTGTCATACTTTTTCTTTTTCTTTTTGTACTTTTGACATCAATTTCCAACACTTTCTCTCTCTATCTCTTCAATAATTCTCAACCACTTTTTTCTTTCTCTCTATCTCTCTCTAACCCCACATGCATATTTGTACGCTCAACCAACTTCCTTAATTCCCATGAAAAATGAAAAATAGGCTTCTAATTATGAAACGGAGGGAGTATTTCATAATAATTTAAAAATAATTCTATATTTGCAAATAACTTAAAAATTCGAGCATTTGCTCGAGCATTATCTATTATAATTATAATGGACCTTATAAAGATCAGCCCCATTTATTTACTAGACCGATCTGACCCATTTATAATTGGGGCGGGGCTCCAACCCATTGAATTGTCCTAATTGTCAATATAAGAAGAAAAAAAAAACAAAAAGCGGAGGATAAACAAAGCCTACCTCTCCTCCTCCTGCTCTTCTCTCTCTTTCAGTTCTCCATTGAAGCACAGTCAACGTTTGAGGCGCCTTTTAATACTTGTATCCCCCATTGAAGCAGCTTCTGCGGTAAGTTGTTGTTTCTTTTTGTAATCATCATATCAATTTCACAATCTACGGTTTATATTTGATCTAATTTAATTTAATTGTCAGTGCAGTAAGTTTAGGGTTCGAATATTGTTTCTAATTACTAAGATTGTTGAAGATTATAACCAACGATTATGTTGCTAGAAAAGAAATTTATGAGCCTAATATGATAATTGAATAAAACATCCCTAAAATTATGTGATTTTTCTAGCCTTATTTCATAATTAAATCAAATTTGGTTGCTAATGTATTGCAGAACCCTTTAATGTTAGCAGTGGTGGACCCACGTGTAGTCATAGTGGGTCCTAGTACAATCTATTATTTTATTAAAAAAAAAAAAAAAAAAAAATTTCACGAATCACGCTGTACCTTTATATCTATCTCTCGCTGTACTTCTTCCTCTCTCTCTCCTCCATTTAAGCGTACTCAAAATTCTCCATTGAAGGGGCTTTTGAGCTTTCTCTCTTCCATTGAAGCAGTCTCTAAGGTTAGATGCTTCTTTTTCTTTAATCATCTAACATTGATTTTGACAATCTAGTGTTAATCGTGTATTTAATTGTCAGTATTTACTCAATTTAGGGTTCTTCGAAGTTGGATAATTGAACTATTGGTTATAGATAGTCGAAGAATTTAACGTAATTTTTGGTGTCTAGTTTGATAATTGAGTCAATTTTGGTTGCTAATTTGTGAATTGTAGTTTATTTATTTTATTTTATAGGAAAAACACAAAATCACAAATTCCGGGGGGTGGTTGATTGATTTAGATTTGAGAATGTAACTTTTTTTCCTTTCCTCATAACTTGAGTTTCCCTTTGCACTCACTGGGTTATGTAACTCATGTTGGATGAACTTGTAAAATGAAAATGTTAGTGAAATAAACGAATGAACTTATGAGAAGTTTAGTGTTCTGGTATATCTCATCTGACTGCCTTCTTTGTAGAAGTAGCTCTTAATTGAGATAGTTGCAGGTGTGCTTTTGCTTGGAGTCTTATTGTAGAAGAAGCTCGATCAGAACCTAGCTTTATTTACGGTAAGAAGTTTCTAGTCTCTGATTGGATATGTAGGAGGGCAATGTTTACTTTAGCCCTGTACGATTACCTGAGACAAAATAACTTAATGTTTATTTTCTGGTTTAATTTGAGATGAACGCTCCAGAGATTTGAAGATATTAAGAAATAGAGTGGCATTTGTGTGAGGCCATGGGCACTAAGAAAGACAAATTAATAACAATGTTGTGCCCGCTGAGTTACTACTTTTGAGAAACTCACTAGCATTGACTCATTTCTAGAGCATCCTTTATTACTTAGATTGGATTATTTTTCTGAGGTTTTGATTGTATGTTGACATGAAGTATAGCTTTGCTGAATTGAGCTTCCTAATTAAATTATGAGCAGTACTAGCATAAGATGTGTGTAAAGGGGTTATTTTTATAGTTTAATGGGTAGTTGATCAAGGATTGGTGACTGTTGAAGATTGAATAGGGCCACTAGGGGTGAACTTTGTCTTGGTAGCATTGGTCAATGACTTATGCACAATTCTCCTGTGACTGTATGGGAGTGTCTTATAGAGTTCATTTAAATTACTTTAGTTCAAATGGTAATGCTTGCCATCCATAGAAAATGATGTTTATAGATATGAATGCTTCTGACTTTCTGAGCTTTGAGGTAGAATATTTGCTGGTAACTTGGAGTTTTAAAGCACGAGATTTGTTTGATCAAACATTGACTAATTGTCATGAGACCATGTATACCGGACAAGGAAAGTAGATTTGCATTGACATAGACCCCAAAACAGGTGTATTCAAGTTTGTGTTGGTTGAGATCTTTCAGGAATTTGGTTTAGAGTTCAGGTTTTGTATAGTACAAGGTCGGATGGACGATGATACAAGCTTTGACTATTTTTTGATATTATATGCAGTCGATGGACGATGATGGGACAACCTATTAATCAAATCATGGATCCGCCACTGAATGTTAGGATTGAACTATGTAATTAGACCTCTTCTACCTTAGCCCAGCCCTGGGCTCAGGGACAGGCTTGGATGTGTTGGTTGTGAAACGAAGTTTCTTGTATAAGTTTAGAGTTTTCTAGCATGATGAATCTTATTAAATTAGCTTCATATATTTGAATCTTGCAATTTTTCAATATCTAAGAACCTTATTGTTAATACTCTACATTTTAATTGGTTATTAGGAGGACTAAGCAAAACTAAATCTGATCCGTTGAAATATGATGGCTATTCTACTCACCTCTAGTTTGGGCAGTGTCGTAGGGAGTAGAAATATTGATCGGACAGAGGAAATCATAAGTTAGATTAGATTTAGTGGAGTAATCTGCCCTTTCATAGTTGGTTTTGAAGTAAGCCTGAAGGGTGATTTAAATTTTAATGTTCTATTTGGTGACCAATTGAAATATCCTGAGTATCAATAATTTGAACTTCCTGGAGGATGAGTAAGGTTTCAGTGTTTTATTCGATGACCACTTGAAATATCTTGAATAACTATTAATTTAACTTTCTTTGATTGTCTTTTTTTTTCATCATATGTTGCTGTGATAAAGATGCAATTGAAGTTATTTAGGGCGGAAAGTGGCACTACGACAGTGTGGAGTTGGGATGAAATGAACTACGATGTATTGTTAAAGATAATGAAGAGAGTGCCATTGGGGGATAGGCTTTGTGTAGCGTGTTTGGTGAGCAAGACATGGTTGTCGGCAGTATTAGATTCAATGTCACCCCCTGGTGTGATCAATCTCAAACGCTTGGATTGCCCTAAGTTCCAACGAATGAACAATAGATATCTTGTTTTCTTGAAGCGTAGGCTGGATACTATGCCAGTTGACTCTTGCTCTGCATTTTATCATGGCGAAACCTTTCTTCAAGAATATAAGTATCGGTATATTGCTAAAAGGTAATTGTTGTATTTATTGTCAATTTTGTGAGATATATTGTTTTATTCAAGAAATTATTGATTTACCTTAAACTTAGCTTGTTAATTAAAAACAATAATTTTTCATTGAACTTTTATTTACAAATCAAATTTGTTTAAATTAGTGAAAGTAAGTTTTAATCGCTAAACTTCATGATTTAAAAATCTGTAAATTATTCTCTAAAATATGTTTTTAATCAATAAAATTCAATTTAGGCCCCATTTACTTCTCATAATTTTGACTGATTTCACTGCTTTTCTTCTTGGGGTTACCAATTTTACTGATCAAACTCATTATACTAATTCTTATTGATTAAAGGATAATCCCACCTTTTGCAAGTCTTCTTAAAATAGTCTCACCTTTTAAAAATCTGGGAATAATCCCACCTTTTCTATGAATCTTCTCAAAATGGACCCCTTTCATTTATGACTTGCAACAGGTGAATTGGCCTATGTGGCACTTACCATTGCACAGTTTGTGGGTTTCTATATAACTTGGAATTGCTATGCTATATAATTATCTTCTCCCCTGTCTTCCACCATAAGTGTGCTCCCCATTCTTCTCTTAATCCCTTTTTTTCTTCCTTAAATACACCACCATGCCAGAACTTCAACGTCACATTCTCCATTACAATAATAATCGCAACAACCAAAGCTCAATTTTGTAGAAATGTAGAGCACTAATCGCAACAAGCAACTATCAACATTCAACAAACAAGTATCGACAATCACCTATTCAAACAAACAAAAAAAACAAAAAAAAAGGGAAAACACAATTTCATATCCAAGCCACACATTTTCGAAAAATTTAAACAGTAATTCATAAAACAATACCTTAAATTTTGATGCTTAACATCCACCATTGTACTTCATGCGTAATCCCCACAAACGCAACGAGTTTTTTATTTTATTTTATTTTATTTTTATTTTTATTTTTTTATTTTTTTTTTTTTCTAATTTTCTGGTCTTTAATTAATGGAAGGGGAAAGAGCGAGTAATGGTGTTTCAGAAATGGGATGGTAGTTAGGATAATTAATTGATAAGGGAGGGAAAACAAAATAAAAGTCCACCTAATACCGCCTGACCAAGTACCCAGTAAAAAGGGTCCATTTCGAGAAGATACATAGAAAGGGTGGGATTATTTTGAGAAGACTTGCCAAAGGTGAGATTAATCTTGTGAATTTTTCCTTGATTAAAACTGATTCATTTGGTAAATTTGAGCTTTTCATTTTAAGAAGTTTAATATGAAATATTTATTAAACATAGGACATTAATCGGTAGAAACAATTCAAGCTGTAGTATAAGCTTACTACAGCTTTGCTTTTGTAAAAATTAGTAATTACATGGAAGAAAAGCAACTTCAAATCATTTAAATTCAAGTGTAGTTTAGAACCTGACTTGACTCGAGAACAAAACCTGACCCAAATGACCTGTTTGATACCTCTACCTCTACCTCAAATGCTATCTTGTATAGACAATACTTACATGTTTGTATGTACTTTGCAGGACACCTTCCATGCAGAAGTTGATAATACCCCGGGCAGTGCGTACGAATTTTACTTTTATTTCGCCTGCTATGAAATACTGGAAGAAGCTGAAGAAAGTGCAGTGTCCTTCAGTATTAATAGCACAATTCCGAAGAAACTTTACTAAGGTCGAAACTCTGCGGTTATTTGGCGCTGTGGATGATGATATTGCAACAATTATACGTGACAGATGTCCTCAACTCAAGCGATTGAGGCTCGACTATTGTGCTTTATCGATCAATGCATTGTCTATTATATTGGATGGCCACAAAGATTTGGAGTTATTGGATACTCGCCATAGTTTTCGTGTTCCTGACTGCAGGATATTGTTTAGCGATCGGGTGTCGCCATGTTTAGAGTGGAATGAAGAGGAGATTCGGTCTAAGGCTGCTGGTGTTAAGGTGCACCTGAAATGCGCTCGAGACCGTTGTAGGAAGTGTGCTCCACGTAAGTGTAATTTACGTGTCCGGAGCTGTTTTCCTGATCTCAAGCCTTTTAAATCTGATTATCGTGCTCGTCTTTAATCTTATTTACTCTTATTTTTTTTTATTTCATGCTTATATATTTTGGGGGAGGTTGCAATTTTAGTTAACTATCTTAGGATAATTTCGCAACGACTTCAATCTTTTTGGATGGACTTGCTGATTTACAGTGTAATCGTCTTCCAGCAACCTTTAATTTAAATCTGTTGCAGTTTTTGCTATATGGGAACAACTTAACAAGATTGTAGCTGCTTTAAATGCATCCTTTACCCTGTTACGAAATTAATTTAGTTCTTAATTTCAAACTTTAAGACTGATTTATTAGGGAAAAGATTTTGGTTCTTATTTCTGGGAATGTGTGAGAATAATAAGTGGATTGCTAAACACCGCCAACAAAAATGATCAACATGGCCAACGTTGGGTGTGAAAGGACAATCGTAACCTTACTACTTCACCACCCTGTATCCTCCTGGCGACCCACAACCCCTTCCGACCGGCGATGACCACCACCACCCTAACCGACGACCCACCACACCCCCTCTATGGCGACCCACCACCTTCCCGTCGGTGGTGGTTTTTTTTTTTAATTTCAGGCAACCGCGGTAACCGAAGCCCAAAATCGGTTACCGTGCGTGGTAATTGGTTTTGGGCTCTGGTTACCACTCGCGATAACCGGTTTTGGGCTCCGGTTACCGTGCGTGGTAACTGGTTACCATGCACCCTAACTGATTCCATGGTAACCGAAGCCCAAAACCGGTTACCGTGCTCAGTAATCGGTTTTGGGCTTCGGTTGGTACGGTTGCCAAAAAAAACCACCACCTTCCCACCAAATATGGAAGGTGGTTGGTCGTCTTTGAGGGGGATGTGGTGGGTCGCTGGTTAGGGTGGTGGTGGTGTTAGTCGTCAATTAGGATGGTGGTGTCAAGGTGTTAGTGATTAGTGATTGGTGGTAAGAGGGAAGGTAGTAGTGAAGTGCTAAGGGCATGCTTGTCCATTTACACTAAATGTTGGCGATTTTGATCATTTTGAATGGCGGTATTTAACATCCCCCTAATAATAAAGCTTGCGGTTTTTAGATTTTTTATTTTCTTTTAACCTTCGTTTTCGTTTCAAACATGCTTAACTCATTCCCTTACTCCATCATTCTTTTTTATTTGTCCTTTTTCTTTGGCAAAAACTAATGTACGTCCGCTTTAGATAAGATGACTAAAAGTAGTAATAGTATCTTAAACTAAAGGGTTTTTCTACGTTGTATTTTTGTGTTTTTCACTTTTTTTTACGTTGTATCATCTCTTCATGAAACGCACCCTTATTTCTTATCTATTATGCCCTCACCCTTAACTTGTCGTTAGGAATTCCGTTAACTTTGTTAGTAATAAGAATTTTTTTATGTTATGCCCCTATGGTTCTTTGTTTATTCTTATAATCTCTTGTACCATTTTTATCAATTTTTAAAGGGAAAATTTGTTCAGAAAAACCTTATAAATTTTTTTTGGCCAGGAGAAACCTGTTTTTTTTTTTTTTTTTTTTTTTTTTTGGTTCAAGACAACCAAGTGAGACTTTCCGATGTTGACTCACACTTTCCGGCGTTGACCACCCCTTTCCCCTCATGTGCGACTCACGTGACTCTTAAATCTCTAATCACACCCCCTTTTCCTAACTCCACTCCCTTTTCCCTCCAATTACACACTCTCTCTCTCTTGCTCTCTCTCTCTCTCCTTCTCTTTCTCCTCTCTATGAACAAGCATCGAGGCCGCAATTAATCCCCTCCCAGGATTATCATGGGTCCATGAAGTCCTCTTCGCAATAGGAAAGCCACACCCACACCGCAAATCACCTTTTCGAACCATAATTGCTGCATAATTGAGAAAGTTTAAAGGGGGGGGGGGAACCCCTAATTTCTAATCAACTTTTGAAACCTTGAGAGTTGGACAAATTAAGCAATTACCTCTGGTCGAAACTAGTTGGAATTGCTTCAAATTCACTAGAATTAACAATGGCTTGTTCACATAGAGGAGAGAGGGAGGAGAGTGAGAAGGAGAGAGAGAGAGAGCAAGAGAGAGAGTGTGTAATTGGTAGGATAAGGGAGTGGAATTAGAAAAATGGGAGTGTGATTAGAGATTTAGAGTCACGTGAGTCACGCATAAGGGAAAAAGGGTGGTCAACGCCGGAAAAGTGTGAGTCAACATCGGAAACTCACTTGGTTGTCTTGAACAAAATTTATTTTTAAATAGGTTTCCTGGCCAAAAAAATTTTAAAAGGTTTTTCTTGACAAAATGCTCACTTTAAAAGGTATTTCTGAACAAATTTTCCATTTTTAAATGAAAAATTCCACCATTAAATGTCCAATTGATAATGGATGTCAGAGCATTATTAAATGAGTCTCAAAATAAAAAAAAAATTACTCTCCTTTTCAAAATAAATACTTTATTTTAACTTATACACTATTTGCCTACACCACTTTAAGGTCTTTAACTAATATTAGTGTTAAATATAGTCATATTGATACTTGTTAGAATCGTCTTAATTTATAGTTTTTGAACATCAATTTCTCTTTTATAATTTATATTTATTGATAATTAAATAAATTGTTATCAAACTCATACGTTGGCAAATGTACTGGTCAAACTGCATAGATTTATTATTATGTTCTTGGTGTTTTTCTAAGTTGTACCTTTTCTCGGTTTTAATATTTTCTTTTTGTTTTGAAACTCGTTCAATGATGCTTTGACATCCATTATCAATGTACATTAATGATGACATTTTCCATTTTAAAATTGATAAAAAATAAGTACATCTTAAAAATAAAGAACCAAGGGGGCACAACATAGAAAAATTCTTAGTATTAACAAAATTAACGGAATTTTAACGCCAAGTTAACAATGAAGGCATAGTAGATACGAAAATATAAAATACAAGGGTACCGTGTGTAATTTTCAAAAAGAGGTGGTACAATGTAGAAAAGTGAAAAACACAAAGGTACGACATAGAAAAGCCCTAAAATAAACATTACGAACCGTGAATGTGTGCCCATTACGAAACGCAAAATATCTAGGCCTAAACCCGGTAAAAGATTTTCATGGAACAACACAAAGCATTAGGGCATATGACAATTCAAGGAGATCGGTGTGTGGAACTATTAAGCTACGAATTACCACTAGCCCAATACACAAAGATGGTTGAATTCCATGTCATGGACATAAAACCTACATTCAACCTTCTTCTAAGACGTCCTTGGATACACGAACTTGGAGCAATACCATCTTCGCTCCATCAAATGATTAGGTTGAACTATCGAGGTCTTCCTATGACCATACATGCTTCTCCTCTAAAAGTCGCAATAAACGGTCAATCTCCTCTAGAGATAAATCATGACAATGATGAAGAAGATATGTGGGGATTTGTCGTAGAGGCTATCTCCACGCTAGAAATGGATGAAAGTCTTGAAGTACCTTTCAAAATTGATCCATATTCCACCCCAATAGTAAACAACATGTTATTCAAGAGTAGTTACTTTCCTAGGATGCCTTTGGGAATAGGAATGAAGAAATCTATCTTATTTCCTATCCCAAACAAAAGCTTCTCCTTTGGATCGAGATATAAGCCAACCAAGGAAGAACTTGAAACTCATGATGCCAAAATAAGGGCACGTAGGAGCAACAATAAGAAAGTGATAATTTCTTTACTCACATCTTACAATCAAACCCTTAATGGACAATTCATTAGGGAGGGAGAGAATTACCCATGCTATGACTTTCCAGAATCACTAGTTCTTGAAGATATCAAGAAGCCTGGATTCGAGATTTTTCACGATTGCTACTTCTTGAATGATGACTTAGGTGTCATTCAATTAAAACGCACAACTCCAGGGTGCTATGATAGGCAAGCCTTTAACTTGATATTTGGACTAAAGCAAAACCATGTTTCTATCATAACCAACCAAAATGTCATCCAAGATGAAGCTTTTGATCCTACTTCGTTGATCACTCCTTTCAATAATACCTTTGAGCATGGATGGAGGAAAACCTTCAAATGGACGAACCACAAAGGTGAGAAGCTTGAAGTCATCACAGGCAAAGGACGAATGTTTGAAGAATCTGACGATGAGTCTAGTTTAGATTTTAAGGAAGCTGAGAATTTAGGCCTTGTGGCCATTACTGAGTCTTCATTTTCTAGTTCTAAGGACTAGAATCCCAAAAAGGACTCCTCTCTTGATGTACTTGCTTTTGATTTTAATAAGATGAGCTCTATTTCCGAGTATATGCCTTCTCTTGAATCTTTTGAATGCTATAATAATCAATCTAACGAAGATGATGATATTAATAAATTGATTGAATTAATGAATGAACGAGAACAAAAGAATCATGTGATCGAAAAAAATGAAACGATCAACATAGGAACAAATGAAAATAAGAAAGAATTCAAAATTGGCTTAACCTTAAATCTGGAAGAGCGATCAACTCTCATATCGGCGCTCAAAGAATTCGAAGACGTGTTCTCTTGGTCATACAAGGAAATGCCTAGAATAGATAAGGAAATCTTGGAACATACCATTCCCTTGAACCCTATGTCTAGACTAGTAAAACAGAAATTTCGACGAATGAAGCCTGACGTTGCTTTAAAAATAAAAGAAGAAGTACAAAAACAATTGGACGCAGATTTCATTCGCGTATGTAATTACCCAGAATGGGTAGCAAACATCGTCCCAGTCCCTAAAAAGGATGGATGAGTTTGCATGTGTGTCGACTTTAGGGACCTTAACAAAGCTAGTCCCAAAGACGATTTCCTTCTACCACATATTGATATATTGGTGAATAATACGGCTGAGCATGCGATGTTATCCTTTATGGATGGATATGCAGGTTATAACCAAATTCTAATTGCAAAAGAAGATGAAGAAAAGACATGCTTTATTACCCCTTGGGGTACTTATTGCTACACAGTCATGCCATTTAGTCTTAAAAATGTAGGAGCTACGTAATAAAGAACAACTACTTAGACACGTACTTAGACACGCCGTCTTCAAGACAACACATCAATAATGCAACTACTAGTAGCTAAGACTAGGACTAATCTAAATAATTCAAGTACAAAAATACTTAACGGCACGCAGTCCGTATTTAGATTTACAAAAATACATAACGAATCACAGTCCATATTTACTACCCTAATCAGGCCCCACTAGTTGCCATTTTATAAAACCTGTGATAGAATATTCCTTCCATTCATCCATTTACTATCGTGAATGGCCCATGCATTTTACAAAGTAAAACAAGCAATAA